GTATAATAAAAGCAGAAGAGTACATTACATTTCAATGAAAGATAAAATAAAAACTTAGGTATGAATTTTATTATTATATACGTGACTTTAGGTTCAATTTATTCTTTAAAGTAAAACAGTAAACTCTGACATTTTATTACTAATAATAAATCACTTGTCACACATCTCACAATTATTATATACTGATAAAAACTATTCTATATAGCATTGGCATGCCAGACAAATGAGCGTGTCTATCCCATTAATCAATTACACATAATTAGCAGTTACTGCTGCAGCGAGATGATGACGGTGACAATGACAACAGTGATACAAATATAGAGTGCAGCAAGTGGCTCCCTGACAATCTCTAGCAGCACAAGTGACTTCTCACGAGGGAGTCTCACAGCTACGTGAACAGCACAGCGTAGCAGCTGTGCTCCTGCCTGAACCTCGTGAGGAGGAGGAGGGTGGTGTCCATGGCAACCATCACGCACCCACAACCATACACCTCTTGGGCAACGGCGAGGCTACTATCGCAATCTTGGGTAAACTCAGTAAATTGTGAACTTTATCTACCAGTGCAGCCAAAGGGCTTTTGCTCCACCCAGAAGAAAGCCTTCCAGTGACAATGCAAATCTTGTTCTACTTTCAAGTGGCTCTTTCAAAATAAGAAAAATTCTGGGCACTGGCAGTCCTTCATTGACAATGAAGATTCAAACACAGGTCAAATTACCCGCATCCAAGATCTATTGGATTAGAAAGGTTTCAGAATTTTGGAAGCTTTTCAGGTTTTGCAGTTTGGTTTTCTTTTGTTTGTGAATTTTGGAATTTCAAGTTGGGGCTGTTCTGCCTGTATGCCATTTTTCACTGGCACGGAATCAATTTTCAACATGTCTTAATCGCTAATGACACAGTCTATTATTTGACTGTACTGTATTTGAAATTCTAAAAATGTCATATTCTTCCCTTTAAAAAAAAAAAATCTTAAATACATGTCAGGTGGCTTGGTTAGAAATCTATCAAGAGGCCAAGAATCTGCTATACTCTCTAGTGCTAGCATTCTTGGAGACTGCTCGAACAATGAATTTCTAAAACGCATTTTCTGCCTTAGTGCTGCCTAAGCAGTCACTAGGCAGAAATCCCTGCAAAAGTAGACTACAGAGGTCAGTCAGGCCCTGGAAACTTCTAAACATCAAACAAACAGCCCAGAAGAATGTCCTGCTCAACCATCCCAAGGATGTCATTAATGGCTTCCATCTGTTTCTTTCCCCCTACCATCCCCCCATCGAGGCATCTGCTGTTTTCTGTTTCATTTGCATTCGAAAGTAAAGCAAGAAAAACATAAAGAACCATGTTTTAAATTGTACAATATTTATTTGGACACAAATTTGCTTGGCAGCCATCTTACTGTTGGTACACTAGGCTATTCCCAAGTATTTCGGAGTGCAGCATTTATATTAAGGATGAGGATTTAGGTATGAACACATAAGTATGTATATGTATACTGAGGGGGAGGCACTATGATCACACCCAGGCCTTCACAATGACCAATATCCCACAGCCTCCCCTTTCTTGAGTCCAGGTCTCGCTAAATCACTAAACTGGCCAGGCTAGGTCTGAACTTAGTATCTTCCTGCCTCAGCTTCCTAGAGTGCTGGAATTACCAGCATGTGCCACTGCACCTGGATTAAATTATATGTACTTTTAAGTAAACTGCTCAACAAATTTTTCACCTGGTCATAATAAACTTTTTCTGATTCCCCATGAAGATCAAAATTTTTGTTATTAGGGTGCAATAATTTTTTCTGGGGGGTGCAATAATTCTTAAAACTTCTGAATGGTTTTATCTGTTGATTATCCTTACCTAAGCCAACTATTTCATTAAAAATTACACAATGATAATTTTAATTGTGTGTATAGGAGCAGGAGGGAGAGAAAGAGATTCTCACTATATAGTTCAGGCTAGCCTTGAACTCACTATGTAGCCCAGGCTGGCCCTGAACTCATGGCAGTCCTCCTGACTCAGCCTCCCAAGTGCTGGGATTACAAATGTACAACACCACCACATCCAGTTGATTTTTTTAACTTTTATCATCCCATATATATTCCCCCATCAATTAGAAGTATTAGGTTATTTTGAAACAAAGTTTACAGAGGGGGGCGGGGAGATGCCTCAGTGGAATAAGCGCCCTGGCAAGCTCAAGGGCCTGAGCTCAATCCCCGATTTGGCAAAAAAAAAAAAAAAAAGTTTACACAAGAAATAGAGGATAAATATTTCTTTCCTTTAAATTACCGATTCCAGAAGCTGGGCGTGGTGGCGCAAGCCTGTAATCCCAACATTCGGAAGGCTGAGGCAGCAGGATCACTGCAAGTGTGAGGTTAGCTTGGGCTACACAATGAATTCAAGGCAGGTCAGCCTGCACTACAGAGGCAAGGCTCTGTCTCAAAAAATCAAAAAACGAAACAAAACAAATTACCTATTATAGAGTAAGCAGTTGGCACACTAGTTACCACCCAGAGTGATCAATGAAGCTTTGTTTTGCAGATTTTATCACAACTAGAGTTTATTCCTCTTTCATTTTTCTAAACCCCCAAGGAACTCTATGAGAATGCACAGCACATATCAAGAGTCTGGGAATGAGCAGGGATGAGTTTCCTGACAAATTCCATTTATCAAGGAAATAATATTCATAACCTAAAACGTCAGGGCTATCTGACAAGGCTAGCAGTCTTCTTCACTGCCTCATCAAACTCTAACCCTTCCAGGGGGTCAAGGGCAACCTGGTACACACTAGAACTACAGTACCTTTATTTATTTATTTATTTATTTATTTATTTATTTATTTATTTATTTATTTGGTGCAGGGTCTCACTGTGCAGCTTGGACTTGCAATGATCCTCCTGTTTCAGTCTCCCTAGCACTGGAATTACAGGCATCCACCACCATGCCTGGTTTTCATGGCTTACACAGCATGCCCATGGTGGGGATGCAGTATCAGGGATCAAACCCAAGTCCCTGTGCTTGACAGGTAGGTGCTTAGGCCACCTAGCTAGCTCCCCAGCTCCCACAGAAGTTTTTAATGTAAGATGCGATGGCTTGGATCTAAAACAGACCCCAAAAGGCCAAGTGCTGGGGGCCTGGCTGGCAACTGATGGGCTGTGGAGGGTGATTCACTCATGAGGCTAGCCCTCTGGTGGATTCAAACTTTCTGACCTTGGCTGGTCTCCTTAAGCAATCTGGTGGTCCCTGGCTCCCTGGAGATCACCATATTGATGCTGAATTTAGCGCACTGCAGCACAGAACTTCTGGACTGGAGCAATCCTCTCACCTCAGCCTCCCAAGTAGCTGGGACTTCAAGTGTGCACCACCATGCCCAACAGTGGATTCATACTTGGAGGGCATGAGTGGGGAGTGGCAAAACTAGGAGGTGGGGCCTGGTTGAAGGAAAAGGCATAACATGCGACATCCTCAGCCACTCCCTCACTGTCTGACTGTATCTGTCTATCTGTCTCTCGGACTCTGTCTCCCCCTCCCCCCACGCACACCCTGTCTGACTCTACAGCGTGAGTAGCTTCCCTCCCCAATAAGCCCCTCCACCCTGCTGTTTCCACCTCATCACAGAGCCAAGAATAAAGTCTGTTGATCACAGAAAGAAACCTCTGAAACCCAGAGCCAAAATAAACCTTTCCTCCTTCAAACTTTTTTGTGTATTTAGTATGGTAGATTTAAGTTCAAGTCCAACAAAGTTAAGATGAAAAGACACTCAAAAGAGAACCTACAAAAGTAGATGACCCAGTACCTTCCTTGCTGATACATAAAAGAAACAGAGCTATAGAACTCTCAAATTAGGGGTCAGGGAGATGGCTCAGGAGAATAAGCACTTGCCTGGCAAGCGCAAGGACCTGAGTTCAATCCCCAGTTTTGTCAAAAAAAAGAACTCTCAAATTAGAAATAAGACAGCAGTATGAGTAAAATGTTTGTATCTTCTCAATAAAAATGCTAGAGCACAAGAAAGATAAAGATGTAGGTACACTTTCAGTTATATTTAAAACTGTAGTAAATAATATACATCATGAAAAATGATGTAAAATACATAATATAGTGAATAATTAAAGAACCACCACCCACGTAACTCATCATCTAAGTCAAGAAACAGAATATTATTACCACTTTAGAAGCCTGGTGTGCCTCTCCCTGAGTATAAACTACTTGTTCTCGCCCAAAGACTTTGGTGACCCTATTTCCTTGCTAATTTTTATCTTTTTACCATATAAATAGGCATCCCCTAAACAGCACAAATTATTTCTTTGGTTGGTGTTGTTTGATTATTTGTGTTTTGAGATAAGGTCTCACTACATATGCTAGGATGGCACTGAACACACTATGTAGCTCAGGCTGGCCTTGAACTCACAGCAACCCTCCTCCCCCAGCTTCCTGAGCACTGCAGTTATGGGCGTGCACCACCACACACAACCTCCCGTAATTACTTCTAAGATTTATTCATTCCTTTTTTTTTTTTTTTCAACTGAAGTGAAACTCATGTAACATAGAATTCATCATTTTAAAGTGAAAATTTCTCACTCCTTTTTATTACTTACTAAAATTTATGGCTACATTATGATTATTTTAATCCATTCTCCTATAGATAAGCTAGTGGGTCATCCTGAACAATGAAATAAATATTTCTGTATTGGGATTTCAGTATATGTGTGCCTGTGTATCTCTAGAGAACATATGCAGGAGTGGAACTGCTATCTTCTACCTCACTAAGGAACACTGTTTTCCAACGTATCTGTACCAATTTACATCCCCAACAGTGATACATGAAGGCTCCAGGTGCTCATCCCATGTCCTTATCAAAAACTGTTACTAGGCTTCTTAATTTAGAGATTTATCATTTGCACAAAGAAGTGTCGGAAGACAAAAAGTTGTCACTTCAACTGTAAACCAAAGTTTTCTATTCAAAAAACAATTGCTCCTAGAATCGGTTTAGCAACAGAATATTTTAATTACTCACTTAATAAATGCTGGTGGCATATCTCTCTTCAAAATCTGATCCTCAGTGGTTTGAACAGTCTCTTTCCCAACCTGCAAATGAAAAAAAAAATTCATAACTGAAACAGAAATTCTCAGACAGCCATTACGGTAACTTCCACAACACATGTGGATAGCAACACCGAGTACGTGTGCACAACGTTATGCTGACGAACGTGGAGGGATCCTTGAGGAAGGGAAAAGAGAAATCCATCATCGAGAAGACACGTTCATATGCACAGAACTGACAAAATCTGCCACATCTCTAAAAGGTTGTATCAAATGTCTAAATTAAAATTAGGTGGTCCGATACCAAAAAAAGTAAAAGTTATTGGAACTGGGAAACATATCTAAAGCAACAATGACTTTGATACTAGAAACCAAACATGCAACTTCACCATGTAACATTAAAGTGAAACGAACAAACGTTTTTCCCTATACTTATAGAGCAACTTTAAAAGAAGTACCACATAACACTAAATTCAACAATGGATTAGGTTTGTACCCCATCGGTGGCCATATAAACCGGTATATTATCTGTGGAAAATCTTTGGCTTGTATATTAGAAAACATAAAAATGTCATACCTAGGAATTCTACTTCTATATACCCAACAATAATACCAATGTGGTAATAACAATATTCATTAAAATATTCACTTTTATTAGTTATAACAACTATTCACTGATGTTAATTAATTAATTACCACAGCTAAAACACTTTTTAGATAATTTCTTCAATTAAGTAAATTAAGATTTATCTTTAATTTGAGTACTATGGGGGTCATTAAAACAATGATTTAAGGGGCTAGGGAGATGGCTCAGTAGAATAAGCGCTTCCCTGGCAAGCACAAGGGCCTGAGTTCAATCCCCGGTTCCACAAAAAAAAAAAAAAAAAGATTCGAGAATCAACACTATTGTAAAACCCTTATGACAGAGCTGGGGAGATAGCTCAGCGGCATAAGTGCCTACTTGGCAAGCACAGAGTCCCAAGTTTGATCCCCAGTACTACATGGCATGCAGGCCCCAGAACTCTAGGAGTGGTGATGCACACCTGTAATCCCAGCAGTGGGGAGGCTGAGACAGAAGGATCACTATGAATCCAAACTGCATGGCAAGACCCTATATCAAATAAATAAACAATTCTTATGACATTATATTTCATTTAAAAGAAGTAATACAAACAACTACAAGCACACGGGCCCGAGTTCAATCCCCGGTTCTGCCAAAAAAACAAAAACAAAGAACTATGCTATCATAAGAAATAAAATTCCTATGTATATAACAAAAACACTGAAAGAATAAAAGCAAATACTAACAGTGGTTATATGAATGCTTAGCAAATTTTGAGTGAATGTAGACCTCTACTGCCCATTTCTTTTCTGAAATGTGAAAATACAATTTCTGTCATTACAAAGATAAGATTAAGACTATATGCTTGTAGTGCACACTTAACAATCTTTGTACGGAGCTGGTACGGGAGCAGAGCATATCCCAGTGCCCTTTATGCTTCTGCTGATCTGCCTATTCATTTCACTTGCCCATTTTTCATCCGTCTTTTATTTTGGGAAGTCTAAGGGGTTTTTTTTTTGCTTTTTGCTCTTATGTATTTACTACAGGGTCTACTCACTACACTACACTACACTACACAGATCAGACTCATAGTGATCCTCCTGTTTTTAGCCTCCAAGCACTGCGATTACAGGTGCATGCCATCACACCCAGTCTCAATCACAGTCTCAGTGCATTCCAGGGGTGTGGGCAGCAAAGTGTGCCAGCTAACTCTGGTCCCTGCCCTCTAAGTAGGCACTGTAATCCACTGAGGTATCTGGCGGCTCTCCATATTGTCTTTAAACTAAGGCGTATTTTCAGGATTCAGGAGACATAAGAGTATTGTCTTACTCCTATGAAGCCCTGCATGGTGGGACAGGCCTAGATGTAATTCCAGCACTTAGAAAGCTGAGGCAGGAGGGTCAATGAATTGGAGGCCAGGATGAACTGCACAGTGAAACTCTGTCTCAAAAAAGACAAAAAGTAAAATAAAATATAATAACTCATATGGAAGGCTTGGATGTCAATCTCTCTCTCTTTTTTTTTTTTTTTTTTGTATTTTAGGGAAGGATCTACAGGGTGTTCAGGGTCTCACTACTAGATGGGACTCGTAGTGACCTGCCTGCTTACAGCCTCCCAAGCTTGCCATCACACCCAGTCTCAATTACCCTCTCAGCATGCCCCAGGGGCAGGGCGGGGATGGCAGGCCCAGGGATCAGACCCACTCTCCTGCCCCACCCCTGCTTGCCTGCACTTTAATCCACTGAGCTATTTGGCTGGTAAAATTTCATTTATTAATACATTCTTTTTTTTTTTTTTCTTTTTTGGTGGAACCGGGCATTGAACTTAGGCCCTTGAGCTTGCCAGGCAAGTGCTTATTCCACTGAGCCATCTCCCCAGCCCCTATTAATACATTCTTTTGGTATGTAATGATTACATTCATTGTGCAGAGTTGGTACATGGTCACAACATATTTTTTTTAACTCCCTCTCCCATCTCTTTCCCTTTCATCCCTCCATCTCTTGCGCCCTTTCTATTTCATGATATCATGACTATACAGCATCCTATAACAAGTAAACTTACTATAGTAAGTGGTGGAATTCACCCACTTTGTCCAGAAAGATGAGTTTACCTAGTGTGCTAAATCATAAATGTAAACCACATTTTACTGCCTAAACCTGTGAAATATTTTAAACCCACAGTGAAAAAGATCTCAATCCTTTTTGGTCATTTAGCTTTTGAATTTAAAAAAGGAAAAAAAAAAAAAACTGAGTTAAGAAAAACTCCTAAATGAACAGCAAATCAGCTAAAGAAAAGAACACAATAGACTATTCTTAGGGAATACAAGTCATGCATAAATTTGGGAATACAAGTTTTTTTCCCCTAAGTTAATAGCTCAGAAAAGGCAACACACATACTACTGTGTGATAGCCGGTGCTTCTGTAGACAATAGACCATCTGTATCATAATAAAGGCCTTTCAAATCAGCAGCTGGTTCTCTACAATTTCTCAGCTCAAACATGACAGAATATTTCCAGATGTATTGTTCACTGTATTTTCCAGCTGAAACTAACCATTCAAAAAACTGTGTGCATGATTTCACAAAGTAAAAGATGAAGTTCAGCCACAAAGTCACTAGTTCATACTATAAAAAGGGCACCGAAGATGTCACATCTAAACTACATGGAGATTCCTTCTTGCACACAGGGAACTCAGCAAGGAGACGCTGACCAGGGAGAGAGAAAGGGTGGGCAAGTTCCTAGATCTCCCATAGGAAGCAGCTGTTCAGTGTTACAAGTTGTTGAGCACAATTACATGTGCCAGGCACGGTTATAGGTCCTACCCACATGAAATTTATATTTTAGTAGAAATAAACACCATATAAACAAAGAGTTGTCATCCCAGACAATAAGAGTGACACTGTATAGACAGTACAGGGTGGAACAGCCTACCTTAGAAAGGGTAGAAAACACAGTCTTTCCTAAAGAAGTAACCCCAGAGCTGAGGCTTTGACACTGAAGAGAAACGACTGACACAAGCCGGTCATGGCAGTACATACTTATAATCCCAGCACTGGAGAGGCTGAGGCAGGCGTGACTGCAAGCTGAAGGCCAGCCTGGACTATTTATTTAGTAAGACCAAAAAACAATCAAGCAAACAAATAAAAATTTCAAGGAAGTAGCAAGAAAATGTCCCTAAGGCAGAAAAGATGAAGTGCACCTCAGGAACCTGAGGAAGGCCAGGATGGCTAAAGCGCAGGGACAGAAGCATGGAGTGGTGGTGGCCTCAGGTGTGAGGGCAAGGGCAGGACCACAACCCTGTTTCTGTGTCTGGCAAGAAGTCGTAAACAAGAGAGCCATAGGATAGAATATCCTCCCAGCACTGGGGAGGGTGAGGCAGGAGGGTTACTGCAAGTTCAAGACCAGCCTGGGCTACACGGCAAGCTCAAGCCCAGCCTGAACCCTGTCTCAAAACAACAAAACAACAAAAAGATAGGGATGCCTTTCTAGAACATTTTGCTATCTTGCCTGTTTTATGGAGAAATCATCTTAGGGGAAAAGACAAAGCAGCATGACCAGTTAGGAGGTGCTGCCATCATCCAGAGGGGACATGCTAGTGACTTCAAACAAGCTGTGAGCATGAAAATGGAGAAAAGACCATAATAATATCCTTTGGGGGAAAGACACTCGCTGTTGGACTGGGTAGGGTGAGGGATAAGGAGACAACTGTGGTAAAGAAAACCTCCAGATGACTTTTGGTCCATTAAATGAAACGTCCTCAAAGAGCAAGTACAGCAAAGACTGCTGGTCCAAAGACAAGATAATCACAACCGCGAAAGGCAACACCATTGTAAGTTTTGCACACAGGGATATTCCAACCTCAGTAGAAGTGAGCTTTATATGTGTGTGTGTGTGTGTGTGTGTGTGTGTGTGTGTGTGTATTTATTTTTATTATTATTACTTTGTGCCTCTTTGTAATAGTAGGCGTAGGTGGGAAAAGAGAAATGGATAACAGAAGGACATTTAAGAGCTACTTACTAGGAAGCTATTTTTATGTATTTATATGATAGACACTAATTAGATTTTGTTATTCTAACTACATTAATACTTACAGTAATAGCATCATGATCACTCTGATTCACAATACACTCAGTCTGAAATGAGCTGAAGTACATGAATAGCCCAGTGTTTAAGGTGCAACTCATTAAACATAGCTAGGTTAAGGGAAAGCTATTTTTACTTAGGGAATTGACTTTGGGCAGTGCTGTCCACTAGAACTTCTGTTACGATAGAAATCTACTTAACCCATGGCTATTAAACACTTGAAATGTGGCTAGTGACATGAGAAACTGAATTTTAATTTCAATTAGTACCTGTGGCTATCATATTAGACATCTCAGATCATAGGACCATCACTGTCACCCAAGACTAATCTCCTTAGCTCCAGACTCTTCTTTCTTCTAATCATTTCTCTTAATTACCATATCAACCTTCTTCTAAGCGTT